TTTTTTTTTTTTTTTTTTTTTTTTTTTTTTTTTTTTTTTTCTTTTACTTAGACACAGGTAAAACCTAGAACAAACCGACAGTTACAACCAAGTGAAACTGAAACCGGAAGGGAGGTAGCTGGAACCCGATTCCAAGAGTCCTCTGGAGCCATCCTCCTTTCTCAGCCTGGGTGGGGGACAGCGGAAGATGCAAGAAAAGCAGGACACCAGCTCAGCCCGTCTGCCAGAGGGTGGGGAGGGAGAGGGATAGCAGCTGATTGGAATTTCCCACCCCACCCGGCACCATTCACTGCTTTCTGCTCCAGCTTTCCCTCCTGCTGGCCATGGACATCCCCCACAGCTCGGTGGCCCCAGGTAAGGTGCACCTGTGGCTCACCTGTGACAAACCAGATCTTGGCACTAATGTGACCTGGACTTTTATGAGCAGCTAAATTTCACCAGCGTGAGCACCCTCCTTCTCATCCCCCAAAATTCTGGTTTGATGTCATCCTACACCACTGGTTCAGTGGGTGATGAGCCACCTCCCACTCAATGGCCACCACAGCCTGGGAGGGTCTTTCCTGGGACTCCACTGGGCATTTGAGGCCCATGCAGTGGTAGATGATGCAAGGATCCAGCTGGCCTCACCCAAAGTTTGGGAGCACAGCGGTCAAGAGCTGAGCAGGTGTCCATTCCCCATGGCTCCCCTTTTGGCATCTCTCTGAGTGCTTGGTACAGCACCTGAAATGCAGAGGAGATTAGCCCCAATGGAAAAAAAAAAAAAGCCACTGGATTTAACATGACTCAGAGCACAACCATTTTCCACTCCTGATCCTGTCATCCCTGTTGGAGGAGATGGACATTGCCAGCACGGCAGTTAGGAAAAAAAAAAATCAAATAGCAGCATGGAAAGCCTGCCTGTGGGAAAGAGAGTTGGGGCATTCCAGGACTGCAGGAGGGAAGCTGAGGTGTGAGGCTGTGCTGGTGAGGAGCCACCATCTCCCCTGAGCTGGGAAGGTCCCAGCTCAGCAAGCAGGGGCTGGTTCTGGCTGGCCAGAGGGGCTCAGCTGGCCCTGAGCTCCTGTGAGCCCACAGCAGCGAGTGGCAATGATGTCTGTACAGATCTGCCTCTCCTGGGCTCTRTCCGAGTGCGGAAAGGAGATGGGAAACCTCCTCCATGCCCAGCTCTGCACTGGGAGGGGAATTTTCAGGATGCACTTGGGAGCTGAACTGAGGCTCCCTGCTGGGATGAAACCCAGGTGGGGTGGAGAGGGGAAATCATGCCCAGATGCCTCAGGAGCTGAGAACATGAAGTGTTGTGAGCCTGAAAGGTGTCTGAGGTGATGAACTCTTCTGACAGGCTGGGTGGCACATGAACAAACTGCCAATAAAACAGGGGAGGGCCAAGGGACCAGAAGGAGACAGTGACCTTTCCACAGTTATTTACTTCCCACCTTAGTCAGAAGGCAAGGGAAAAGTGGAAGCTTAAGCCACTGCTCTCTAAGCTGAGGATGCTCAGTCTAACCCCATGGAAGGAGCCCTGATCCCACTGCACCTCCCTCTCCAGAACAGCCCTCCACAGAGGGGGCAGAGCCTTCCACACAGCTCCCATGGCCAGGCCTTCTCCAGGAACAGCTGGAGCTCCACAACAGAGAGCTCCTCACCTTCATAATAACAATCACCTCTCCAGGCCTCTGCATTTTACTTCTTGAGATTCATCTCTGGTTTATTCCAGAAACAACCCTAACAGTGGGTAACAAGAACCTGGCTCCTTGCTCCTACCTTTCTATCAGTTTCCCATTGCTAGTTCCCAAAATCCCTTTTACATCCATCTCCATGAGCTGAATGACCCCTCCCCTTACCCTTCTGCCTTTCTCCAGTGCCTAAATGTTAAATTAAGCAGAGTTAGAAAAAAATCTTTCTGTCTTTGCCTAGTAGATTGCACAGGTCAGGACAGTCCCAAGGAACAGACAGACTTAACACTGGGAATAATGCTCTTTTGGATGTTTGCTCTTYCTAGCAGGAGCTTGAAGCAGCAGACACATGCCCAGGCCACACTGGAAAGTTCTCTGGGTTTCTGTGGGATGGGCTGTAGCAGCAGCAGTGGATGCCCTGGGTATCTCAGTGACTCAGTGTAATGAACCCTGTGATGAAGGGAATCACCAAGGGACTGGCATGACAGGTTCCCCTCTGGGCTGAAGCAGGAGGATGGCAGGGAAGTGTGAGGTCTGCTGCAGCTAATGCCCTTCTTTCTGGAAGATTGCAGACAGCTAAACTCCTGGGCTATCCAAAGTGTCCGTCYCACTGGCCTGGCAGCTTAATACTGACAAATATGACCAAAATTCTAATACTGTCTCCTGCAGGCCTTTCCCCATGGCAGGTGCCTCCTCCTCCTCTTCCCCTCTCCTGAGAAAACAGGAGCACAAAGTGGTTGTCACACACAGACCACCACAAAAGCGGGGTGGAGGAGGCCTGGAGAACCCCTTGGCAGGGTGGAGACCAGAAAGCAGGTTCCTTTGGCTGGCTGGTGTCCTGTTTTCTTGCCCCAATGCTGAGGAAGAGACCAGAGGGTTTGAAAGGCAGGTTGTAGGTACGCTTTAAGGCAGAACTGTTTGGTTGCATGGGGTTGTTTTTCACCCTGTCCTGACACAGTAAGGAAACCATTTGTATGGGACGTAGCAGCAGGAGTAGCAGCAGCAGGCATGCTCGAATGACAAGTGCAGGCGTGAGTTCCCCTCTCTGCTCCTCAGAAGCAATCATCCACGCTCCTCAAGGCCAGTCCTTAAACTCCCCACTCCCTGACTCCACCACGGGACCAGCTCCACACAGAAACGGCCCAGAAGCCCTGCAGGCTACAAGGGGGCTTTTTGTTGGCTCTTTGAGGGCCGGGGGAGAAGAAGGAGCTATACAGAAAAGCCACTGCAGTCTGCTGAGTAGCATTCCTGTGAGGAGCAGATACATCCCACACCTCGAGCTGGCTGGGAGCCTGGCAAGTCACTTGCCAAGAGGCCCAGCCCTGTGGAGATCCCACCCCAACAGTGCCCCGAGCATGCGATACCTTGGCATTCAGCATCAGAAAAGGCTCAGCTCAGAGTCCTCCAAGAGCTCAGCCTCTTCCACAAACGGTCTGAGTTGTGAGTGCTGGGGAGGGGGAAGTGTTTTTGCGTTGATCATAATCTCTCACTCTTTCTCTCTCTCTCTTTCTCTACTTATTTCTATAAATATGTGTACATAAATAGTTTGTTTCTCGCCTTGAATCTAGATACGAACTGTTCAATTTAGGTGGGCATAACATGCTGTTTTGATACATGGAAGTCTTCTCGACTTGACTCTTGGTTGTTTGTTTCTCATCATCACTATTTAAGATATAATTAATACATAAACCCCTACTTTGAGTTCTCCTTGGACAAAAATTAAAGGCAGACTGGTTGAATTCTAAGGGTCCCTGGTGCAGAAATGCCATCCAGTTGAGCAGCTAAATGTTAAAAACGATACCAAAAGGGATGTGGTGTCTCTCCTAGCCTGCCTTGAGCAGTGTGGTCCTCCTTTCCACGTCGCTTGGCGTTACCCAAGACTGAAGCCACGGAGATCTTTCTGGTTGTGCTCTTGGGCGTTGGGATCCCGGCAAGCACACTCTCCTTGTAGGTCACAGGACATAGGAAAYGGTGTAACCTGGGGAAGGAAGACAAAAACACAAATTCATGGAGCAGGGAACACCTACAGCAGCCTGGAGAACAGAAAAAAGACCTCTGGGGTGAAAACTACAGAGATCAGCTGCAATCTTCAGCTAGGTTATTTCTTACAGGGATTTTTGTTAGTGCTGAGCTGGTGCTGCAATGAGGTTCCTGAGGGCCCTACAGTTTGGGTGCTGCTGCCTTACTGAAGTATATTTGTTCATTTAAGGATGAATGTTGTTGGGTTCAGTTCCTCAGGAGCAGAACCAAGCACTGTCTCAGAGTTCAGTGGAGTCCAGCAGAGACTTCTCTGAGCACCTCTGGTGTTTGTGGTCTGGAGATGCAGCTAAAGGGCACTGAGGAGCAGCAGAGGAATGCAGTGAGAGGCTGCTGCGTGCAGCATCTGCCATCTCTCCATGAGCCCTCTGGAGAAGCAAGAGAAGGAGCTGAAACAGCAGCCTGGTTAATGAAAGCTGATTGGGGCCTATTGCATCACAGTGTTTACCTGCAGAAAAGGGGGTGGCTGTGGGACAAGTGTCTCACTTGCCCTGAGGCGAATTCCCAAGAATTTCTCCAGTCTGCACAGACTGAACAAATGACCTCACTCCCTTCCTTTACACTCCTTCCAAGGCAGTCCCAGGCACTCCTTCCAACCTGTTCCAGTGTTCCCAGCGAGGGCTGCACATGCACTCTGCCTGTTCCCCCTAGCTCTGCTGCCTCACGCTCATCACTCTCCCTTTCACAATGCTTTTCTCCAGGCTATGACTCCCGAGTCTGCCTATTCCCCACGCACATCACCCACAGCACATCGAGGAATGTGGCCCCAGCACTGTCATCTCCACCTAGACCTTCCCCACGAGTCCCTGCCTGTCCCTCTCCAGGATGCCTTTCTCCTGACACACACAATTCGGGAAGGAGGGGTGTGGAGCTTGATTTCACAACTGGGGAGCCCGAGGCAGGGACATGCTGACAGAGAYGCTAAAGAGCCAGCGCTCATCACCAAATCAGGGCTTGGAGAGCCTCTTCCCCTCGTTTTTGACTCCTTTCACAGAAGATCTGACCCTCCAGGTGGAATAGGGTGATGACTCTTCATCAAGCCACGGCCTTGGTGGCTTATGAACTAAATAACCAGTGAATAATCTGAATTGCGCAAAYGCAGAGATTGCAGAGAGAAGAAAGAGCCCAGAAAGTTAAAAGCAAAYGAATCCAAATAACTGGCAACTAAATAAGTCTATAAACTGCAGAAAACAATAGGAGCTTAAGGGTCACTTGATCCAACAGAAGCCAGCCTGAGCAGGACTGTCTCGTATCACAGCATTATGAATATTCTTAGATAGGAAAACAGAGAAGTCTGCAAACAATGGGGTTTGGGGAGGAGGCTGAGGAGGGATTGTTTAATGACTGAATGAAAATACTGGAAAGGAAAAAAAAGGATACATGCAAAATAAAAATTGAGTTTTTTCCCTTCAGTGTAGAATGAAACATTTTGTTTTAGATTATCTGCTACATTTCAGGTTTGACCTTTCCCTTCAAGGAAAACAAATAAAAGWGGCTATTTCACAGCAAAAGTTATGTTTTGAAATAAAAACTTGTTTCACTTAGAAAATGCTCAAACAAAACATTTAAGTACGCCTGGAGTTTTCCCCTTTTTTTATTTTTTTGTCCTGAATCATTCAAGTTCAATCTAGATTTGGCAATGATTTTGACTTTAAAAAATCCTCCCTGTTGTACAGTGAAGCTACTGGTTGGAGGCGAGACCTGGGAACCTGACTCTTTCATTTGTCTTGATCAAGCTTTTTCTTCTCCCTGGCCTGGATTCCCTGTGTTCTGCTGTAACAACCTGACAAAGGCGATTAAGTGGCCCCTTCGTTCAGAGGACAGACAGGGAAGATGGATCCACACTTTGCACTGAACACGGCTCAACCACACTCCCAATTCAGGCATTTCAGCAAAGTGGCTGAAATTAGCRGTGACAGCCTACTGCACTTCATCTCTGCTGCTGTCCAGGCTGAAGTGCGATGTGCTGGAGGCACGGAGATCCCAAACATGTTCCCATTTCACCTGCGGGAACCCCAGAGCCAGGAGAGAAAACCCAGCACGGCTCTGTCTCCAAACCACCAGCTCACATTGCCCTCACCTACCCTGTGCTGAAACAGCAGCCTTAGACACCCAAACTGGCATGAGTTTGATGTTGCCTTAAGTGCTCTACCTCCTTCATTCTCTCTCCTCCCATTTCTCCTCGTGAATCGCGTGTTTTCCTCTTTGCTTTCTCACAAGCTGTGTGCTCAGCCCTGGAGCGACCTGAAAAGGTGCACGTACAAGATCGGATTGCTGCAGCGTTACAGCCAATTCCTGAGGAGATGGAGCTGCTAGAAAAGAAATGTCTGGCTGTGTATTGTCCTCTAGAAACCCCCTGGTCTCCCAACAGCGGTCATGGACAGAGGAGCAGAAGTTTTCTCTCTGAGGCAGAGCCCCAGAGCAGACAGTTTCRTGGCTCAGCAGCAGTTCCCAGCAGTGGGTAGCCTGATGGAGGAGGGGTTTTTCCTGATCAGATCAGTCTTATTCACTTTATGTCCCTTATGGAGGCTTTTTATGCAATTCGATTTTTACAGTGCTATTGTCCAGATAGATGAATTGTTTTGTCTTATGGCAGCGAGCTCCAGAGATCGGTTTTCTATTATGTGAAAAAGGCAGAGATTTCTATGGGTAATGAGCACAGCCACAGTYATATTAGACATGACAAAATTCTCCAAAAACTTAGCAGTAATACAGGGTTTTCCACTTTAAACAACATTTATAACAAATACACATTTGAGTTCCCTGAGGACCTGATTTCCATAGGTATTTAGGGAACCTAACCCATACATAGAATCTACTGGGACTGCCTGAAGTACCCAGCTCAGAGAAGCTGTAAAACCCCTTAAAAGAAGGACTGTCTGTTGCCTTGGGCTCACACAGTGACAGCCCCTGGAGCACACAGCCATGAAATAGAGCTGCTGGATGTGCTAGAAATAATAAATGCTGAACCTTTCACTGAATGATAGCCCATTTAGGTGTGGAGCTCAGATATACATACTCTGAGATTAACTACCTCTTTTCTTTTTAAATAGGTCTGTGAAAGCCCAACTCATTACCAGAATACATGACCTGCATTGAAATTTCCAGATAGACCCATTGTAGAGCCAGGAGTAAGGAGTCAGCTCCTCTTTCAAAACATCAAGCCATGCATTTCACCTACATCCATCTCCCCATGTGGAAAACTTGGAAAATCTATTGGAGAATGATAAGAAAAAGCTAAAAATTAAGCTTAGGGCCTGATTTCGACCTTTGATGAAGTAATAGCAAATACTGTATGCTCAGAGCAACTAAAATAGGTTGAAAAAGGCACAGCTGAAGAACACAGCTCCCCACACCTACACACAGAGCTCTTGCMGATGATCCAGGATGGTTATGGCACTGGATCAACAGTGCTCAGGGGAACGTGACTCATGCCAGAATCATGCTGGGCCACCATCAAGAGAAAAGAGACACAACCTCCATCACCCCCAGCACCTGGAGTGTGCAGGACATGACAACATCCTGCTCTGAACCTAGAGAGGCAAGGGCAGCAGGTGTGGGTTCAAGGGCTGGGCAGGGCGCTGGCACAGACACCCAGGTGGAACTCACAGGAGATCCAAAACACCTCGACCAACTCACCACCGTCACTGCACAGGGCACAAACCCACACTGAGAATCCTCTCCCACGCCAAGTGGTGAGATTTCGGATAAAACTCAAGCTGCCTCTTAGAAACAGGGCTAGATTTGTCCTGGATGCCATGCTCCCAACTGTGGGAACAAAGGAAACGATGCAACAGAGCAGGGCAGAGCTAGGATGCAGGTCATGGAATGAGTGAAAGGTCATACTCCTCACTAAATGCACCCATCTGAAGAGGCTGGTGACATCCCAAGGCAGATCCCTGCTGAGAAAGGCCAGTCTGTAGGGAACTGGTGGGAATGTTGACAAGARAAATCCCAGATAGGTACAGGGAGGGATGGAAAACAGCTCTGCAAAGGCCRTGAGCTTGTCCCTCACAGAGGCTGGTATCAGGCTGACCTGGCTGTGCCTTCTACCCGTGCCTGGGGCTGGCTCACAGCAGCACCAGGATGGGCAGGATCAGGCCCAGGGAGGGGGAAAGAGGGGAGGAGGGCTGCAAAGTGTTGGGAAACAGGCTGTTGTTAGATTTCAGCCCYGAAGTGTTTGCGAAATCTCCCAGACAGGCCTCGCTGGGGCTGTGCAGGCAGAGCCTCGGTGGGYAGCGTGGCCTGGGAGATAAGCCTGGCAGCCCATGCTGAGTGTCACAGCCCTCCCAGAGCCTCCCAGAGCCTCCCAGCTCAAACACCAGGGAGTATTCTGTCCCCTGACAAGGCCCTTGTGGGACAAAAATGCATCTTGTGAGGGTCTTCCCAGTGKTTTTTGGCATTGAGGTCACTGGCTTGAGATAACGGGGCAAGAGTGAGCCCCCTTTTAGCTCTGGGTGCTGGTATGTGGGTTCACACCCAGGCCACTGCTCCAGAGGGCCTGGGAAGATAGAGCTGGTGGGAAACCTCTCCATGCAGCACATGCAGTTCCAAAAGCTTGAATTTTTGTTAACTGCCCTGTCACAAACCRAGCTTTCCCCCAGCAAAACCTGCCRCCATGGYGCGTCAAGACACAGCTCAGCTGAACCCAACAGACTCTCCCGTTCTCTCCATCGTGTGCAATTTGGGAGCAGCCTCACCAGAACCAGTGGGAGCAGGATGGCCCAAAGCCAGCAGGGATTCCSGGGAAAGCCCAGCCCGCACGGATCCCGCATCCCCGCCTGCCCGCAGAGCGCCGCGACGGAGCCCGTGTGCCAAACCGCATGGAGCTCAGCTGCTCAGCAATCAGCTGCGCTTCCTACTCTCGTGCTACTTGATTGTGCAAACATGAATGTAATTAGTCTAAATAATCACCAAAGATTTAATAGGAGCCAGACCACC